TTGCTCTGCAGTTGAGTGGATCTGCTTTCACTGTGGGTGTCGTGGAGAAGGAACACGGCACTAAACCAGAACTAGAGTCTGCTCACATCACGTCTGCTACACCAAAGCCTGCTAACGTCTTGTCTGACAAGCCAGAGATCCAAAATCCAAACATAATCCAAACAGACTTGACTTGAACTGACTTGACTTGGCATAAAACAAACTAGACTCACCAACAGCAGGTTACATAATCAATACAAGACGAGAGACAATGGCAACATGATGGCTACTTATAGCAAACAATTCAGCCCAACCAAAACAACCAACCAATGAGAGACAGGACACATGACTTAGACAACCAATCAGAACATGACACAATGAACAAGAGAACCAATGGCATGAATACATGAGGGCAAGGGAAGCATGACACAAACAGGGTGCATGACTAAACTACAAAATAAAAGACATGAAAACATGAACAACAAAACAAAACCCAAACCCCACATTACATAAAGGCACTTACCATTTTAACAAACAACCGCAAACACGGTCCAAACTTTCTCCATTCAACTCCTCTGCAATCGCATGAGCCGGTCCAGAAATTCTTCTTCACATTCGTTTAATTGAGTTGGTGCAGGATGTTCATCAACATCCTGCGGCTTCCACCAGCGAACAAGTTTGCAGCTGTCGGAACATCGAACACGCCAGTTTTCAAACGTGCTCAGCATACAGCAATTGATCATTTCATAAGTAAGATCTGTTAGGCCAACCTGATTTTTAATTGCTGTTCGAAGTTGTAAATTAAATATTATTGGTCTACATTTACTACACAAGAAAATACTATTTCAGTCTTCAAAATTTCAAGTTTAATTCAATGTGTTTCTTGGCAATTATTTGTGTGAAAAATTTCATGTAAATCCTACATTTTTTTTTTTTTTTGTCAGTGTAGGAAATATCAAACAGCTGGATTCCCTGGGTGACCAATCTGAAACAGAGGGTTTATTCAACCCACAATGAAAAATACTATCATCATTTACTTTTCAAACCCATAAGACTTTAATCTTCGAAACACAACTGAATATATTTTTATTAAACCTGAGATTTCTGTCCCTCCACTCAAACCATGATTCAAAAAGTCCATAAAGACATTGTAAAAGTAAAACAAAGTAAAACAAATGTTTGTTTTTGTGTCACACAAATGTTTCAGCGTCTGCAAGAAGCATGGTTGTTCTCATGTCAACAAATATCTCCGTTTGTGTTTCAAAGATGAATGAAAGTCGTATGGGTTTGGAATGACAGGAGGAAACTGATGGCAGCATTTTTATTTTTGTGGGGTGAACTATCCCATTAAGCATTCTAGACAACTAATATTTATTCCAAACGTGACTGTTTTAAATGTGTCACTAGTACAAAACATTTGCCAATAGCTTTGCTACTAACCATCCTAATAGTGACAAGTAATTATTTTTATTGTTAACAAATTGCACATTTTGTCATTAAATTCTATAAAGATCTGGGGTTTGTAACGATTTAAACTAGTATCATTTTCAGATTTTCTATCCTGAACCGAATAAACACTAGGGTCAACCTTATACTTTTCCCCATGGAATTGCAATTTGTTTCCAGTAACAGTTGACTAGTTGCATGTCAAAATTGGGATAATGACTAGTACGAAAGGAATAAAAATATTACAAATAAGTACTAGTTTGAAAGAATTGATATAAGTGGAATAAGTATTCATATATAATTAATAAAATACTAGTATGTAATGATAGGCGCAACGTCTCTCGTCATGTTTGTGAATATGCAGTAAATTGGTCTTAAGTGTTGATTTTTGGATGAAAAGAAGGAAAATAAATAAAAAGTCAACAGTAAACCAATTTCCATAACTAACACATTTATTACATATTTACAAAATAGTTTATTGACAAATGAAGTTAGCTTTTCACCTGATAACTCAAAACCAATATAAAAAATTCTTAGTGACATTTTAGAGCCAGTAATATGATTTCTTCATTCCCTAGGAGACATAAGTAAATCAAGGATTCATCTATGATCAACATCAAACGTTATATCATAAGAAAAACACTTACAATTTGTGTAGTGATATTGTTTGAGATTCACATGATTGCTTGAACACTGAATAAACTTAAGTTAAAAGAATTTTCAGTATGAAATTAAACATACTCACTCAGATCACATACATTAGACAAGTTTGTCAGGAGATTGAGCTCATTAATGAGGGCTATTAGTAAGGAAAATTAACATCTAATTATCTCAAATTAGACGAGAGACGATTTATAAAGAAGCAATTTAGCTCTAGAAAAAGCTTATAATTCAGCTGTAATGGCTCTTCAGCATTTATCATTTAGAACATGCTTCTTGAAAACTAGGCATCAAACATGTACAGTTTGGGACAGACATATACATTTATGAAAGGAGACAATTTAACATATACAGCACAATGAAATTAACATGCACTGACATAAGATCCAAGCGTTATGCTGGTTTACAAGAACAAAACCTGACAAAGGCAATTTGACTACATTAGATGGAGCGATCCATCCAAATGCCTGAAGGTGATGATACACGGGGCAACTTTTTTGAGCAATGTTGCTTGGGCACTTTCCCATTGAGAATGGGATACCTGGTTGCCCGTTGATGGTAACATTGACCACCAACATTGCTCAAAAAGTTGCCCCGTATATCATCACCTTAAGGAAATGACACACCTGTTCAGAAATTGCTTACATGCTTTGCATTGGCTCAGTAAAAACAATGTACCGACATGCATTCAGTCTGCTGTGGAATACAGGTAAAGCAATACCCCCCAAAAAGAAAAACACCTCAAATATACTGTTTACTGTATACAGTGACATCTGGATTTAGCATTAGCAACAATACAGAGGATACAGAGATAAAGCCTTGTCTCTATCAGTAAAAGGCACCCCGTAACACTTGGAAGTTACTTTTGTGGCTCAGAGAGATGTTGGGATGCCATTGTGCATAATCCAGAGTGACATCCAAAGACAAAACGGCACCCCACTGCATAAGGCATTTCTAAGGACTGAGCAGAAGAAGTAAAGCATGAATCAACAGACAGAAGGAAAAGAAGTAGAGGCAGTGTGCTTAATGTGCTGTTACAGATGTTACCAGCAGCTAAAAGACACATTAATGTCAGCACAGGTCTGTTGTTGAGTTACAGTACCTGATGAGCATGTAGTAGGTTCAGTACACTCACAATAGGTGATTATTCTTGACACAAAAGACAGAATCGTCTAATAGAAATTGCATCATGATATTATTCCTCTTATTACTTCCTTTTAGGAGTTTTGGTCTTGCTTGCATTCACGATGATCAGCAAAAAAAAAATAAATAAACAAAAACAAGCTTGAAACCGGTTTATTTTCTCAGTGCTGTTAAAAATAAAGTATTGAATGCCTTTTTAGTTCATATTTACAGTGTCAAGGCAAAATGAGAAAATTAAATTGGCAGAAATGTAGCTGGTGTCATGCTGTGGCTCAAAGGGAGGGAAAAGCGATACATTTTCTCTTAGAAAGGCTTATGTTTCTGATTTACATATTTAGACAGATTATAGTGACTGGAATAACTTTTTTGGAATTTCTGATTCCAGCTTTAGGAGCACATTTTAACATACATCTGGTTCTGAACAACAACCTGGAGCGTGCACAGTCAGACCCAGCTGACCCAGCATTAATACAGACAGTTAAAAGGTGTTTAGGTATATAGTTAGAGATTCTCATGTTGATACATGAGGGGAAAAAAAGGCAAAATATGTTCAGTAATAAATAAAATGCTGAAAGGATAAAGGCATCTGCGAGGAGGTTTGACAGTAAATATATGTCTTGGTTAGCAGTCTCAAATTAAATTTAAGACATCACTGCATAATGGCATGAATATGGTTTGTGCAAATGTTAAATTAAATAAAAACAAAACAACAAAACATTACACACTACAGTGTATATACACAGGGTAAATTGTTAACACATTCAGATCAGAGAAATCTCAGCATTTGGGACTGCAAAACCGAATAAAAATCATTATCACCGTAAGAAAGGACTTACTAAACTATATGTAGTGAACTGTAGTGAATTCTCCATCTGATGAAGATACTGTTTTCCAGTCAATGTAGACAATTTGGTCCCAACACAATCAGTGTCAGCTCAGGTGCATATGTTCACTGTTCATTACACAGGACAGTTAAAAGGAGGTAAAGATATCTTAGAAACTACAGCTACTCATGCCAACAATCCACTAATCATCCACTAATCAGGCCCAGTGTAGATAAAACAGGTCTACCTGACAACATTTTGCTAATTCTGTAAAAGTGTTCAAATAAAAGATTGATCTAATTGAAAAGTACTGAAATTCAAATGGTATTTGATGTATTGTTATAAAAAAAATGAATGAATTTGTACTCACGCTTTAGTGTCCAAGACGACTTTACGATTAATAATACAACTTAGCATTTTTAACGTAATACAGATATTATAAATGCTTGTATGTGACTGGAATTGGGAGAGAAAAGTCCCGCGTAAATGGACTGTTCTTACAGACCGCTTATCTATGCGTAAATATAAATCTGATTTGTGGTTCAAAGCATGATTTGTTCAGAGAGGATTGGGGAAGGTTGTTTTTATACAGCAGGCTGTTCCACTAATACACATAATACTCACCTCCAAACCCTTTTCATATGTTACGACTGTTTTCATAAAGCTCACAAACAGGGAGTAGAGGGAGTATACAAGCATTAGTATCCTAAATCATCTTCCACTCAAATCATCAATACACGGCAAAGGCAAAGCTGTGCTGGGTTTATGGCAACAGTGACAAGAAACAGTTGGCATGAGGTGAAGCTCATCACACACTGAAAATGGTGCGCTGTTGCATCACAACCTCTTGAACATCTGCTCCTGTCACGAGCATAGAAGGGCCAACATGTAGATGATTTGAAGAGAAATGGAAACTCATCACATTATTAAATGGATTTTCCTTATTAGGGGATGTGGCTTTCCTGAAATCTTACAGCAGCTTCTGGTTTGAAGGTTGGGTTTTCCTCAGTGTCTCAGGAGTCTTCAGTCATCTTCAGTAGCTCTAGGAAGGCACCAACAGCTCCAAAATAACCCTGCAGTAAAGAAGCATTTCATTATACATGCTTCTTTCATATGATATGATGGCATTTGTTGAGGCCTAATGAGCAATCAGTGGCTGATATTTTGCATACACACTACTGTGTATTTATATAAAAAACAGTCATTTTAAACTGTAATAATATTTCACAATATTACTGTTTTTACTGTATTTTTAATCAAATAAATCAGCCTCAGTGAGCATAAAGAAACTTTAAAACATTAAAATAAAATCTTACTGACCCCAATCCTTTGAATGAATATAAAATATCTTATGAGATGTACACAAGCTGAACTTTTTAATTTGAAATCATTTTAATTTGCATAATACTTTCTTATTAATATTTTCTGATTAATAAGTTCACAATATTTGGCAACAGAAATCAACATTGTCCATTGAGGGGTTTGTGGTAGACTTTGGAACTGACACAAGGGGGAGCTAAAGGTCCTGTTAATCTGCAAAGTGGTCATACATCCACTGATCATAACAGTAAACAGCACTAATACCTTGTTTACTTTTAACAATATTTAAACATTTCTCATTTATTGTACACCTATAAATAACAAATTTAGAGCAGGAGGCCTATTCATCTGTTGTATATATATATATATATATTTTTTTTTTTATAAATCATCATGCAGCAGGTGCTCATTTTCCTCTTACTCCCTAGTATTTACATCCTCACATTCATCTTCAGAAACACCTCGTACAATTACACACCACAGTTTTTTCTGGTCCCATCAATATTTTTGTATAAAAGCCACAAAACTAAAACTTTGATTTCATTGGCTGTTTAAAAGCACCCAAGTGTAATTTTTTTTTAATATTTCCACCATTTATAAAAATGTGTATTAAAGCATTAATGATATGGGTGTATATAAAATGCCATATACTTGCTTGGCTGATATATTTATTGACTACTATAAAGAAGGTTATGATATAAGTCCAAGATGGACAAACATAATTAAAGGGTTAGTTCACCCAAAAATGAAAATTCTGTAAATTAATTACTCACCCTCATGTCGTTGTTTTCGTTCAAATCAAAGCACAAACAAGGTAGAAAACGTATCCGTGTGGTGCGGCTGACACAGAACAACATACGCGGTTTACGTTCAGTGGATACTCTCCAAAATGGCGCTAGGGTGACTCGGAGGAGACGAATTGTTGAATAAAGTCTTTTTTTTCTTTTCTTTTACACACAAAAAGTATTCTTGTAGCTTCGTAATATTACGGTTGAACCCCTGATGTCACATGGATTATTTTACCGATCTCCTTGCTATGTTTCTGGACGTTGATCGTGGTAGTACCCTTGCTGTCTATGGGAGGGTCACAGAGCTGTCAGAATGCATCAAAAATATCTTAATTTGTGTTCCGAAGATGAACGGTGGTCTTACGGCTTTGGAACGACATGAGGGTGAGTAATTAATGACAGAATTTTTGGGTGAACTATCCCTTTAATGCAACTGATTCTAGAATTGAAGGGAATTAAAAGTGATAAAAAAAGGAAAAAGACTTACTTCATGTTCTAAGAAAAGGGCTTTCAGTTGTCCGTTAGACCAGAAGTCCATGGCATAGGCTAGCAGCTTAGTTGATACTGTGTTGATCCGAAGGAAATTCCCAACAAAAACCACTCTATCGATATTCTGAAGAAAATTAAACAAAAAAACAGACGGTCAGAATAAACAGTAATATTGCTCTATTTTTATTATGGAGAAGAGAAAAGAGGAAATATCTACATTCCACTTGTTCTTGACTTTTACACCAGAGTATTTTAGGAAAATAATTTTTTTTTATCCATCTTGTGGCTGTTCAGTGTGCTGTGATAGCCCTGTACAATGCTGCTTGATCTCCATGCCACAAGACAACACTGTAAAGAAGCTCAGAACACACAGAGTTCATGGTCATCTTTAGCACCACGGATTTATTCTTTATATATAGATTATTTCACAGAGTAATGGCCACTTAATTTAACGTATGTATTCTGAACAAAAATCAATTAATGTGGCTGCAAAAACAGTTCTTAAAATAGATGAGCTTTTACATTAAGAGAAAATGTTTTCAAACCTCGTTCACTGCACACATGCGGGCGATGGAACCAATGTTGTTTGTGATGGTGACAAGAGTGGCCCTGGCCAGGTCCTCTTTACTTATACTATCACGTTTCTCCTTGCTCATCATATGACCAAAACTAAGAAATTAAAAAAAAAAAAAAAAACCCTGAAGATCTTCTTTAATCACAAACATGATCATTTTACATATGGATGATGGCAAATCTGTCTATACCTGGATGCAACGGCGGAACCCTGGAGACCGAAGCGCTCATAATCACCTCCATAAATGTCCTTCACTAGTTTGTCCACATTTGTGCTGTCCCCTTTAGCTGCCATCTCTAAAGCCTCCTCAAATGTCTCACAGCCAGTCAGCAAACAACACAGGCCTAGAAACGTACCACCTCCTAAACTGAATCACAACCAATGGAGCAAATGAATGGCGGTGTATTTAAAAAATGTTGCGTTCATTTAGGTAGATTAGATATCTTGTTTCTACAACATATTTAGCAATTTTCATTACAAAATAATAAAAAATAAGTCATTTATCATTTTTACTTTACAGTTACAGTGCTACAGAACTTTAGTCTCTTTATCGCCATCTGTGGTTGAAACATAAAATTGCAAGTTGTTGTAGAGGAGACCACACGATGTGGACATTGTGTGAACTTCATGTGAAAAAAATTTATTGTAGGCCACATTTAATTAAAAAAGGGAATGATTTGTACAACATTGCCACGACTAAAAAAAAATCATAATTTGTGGCAACAAATTCTTAATTCATGGCCACGATATCTTGTTTTTTTCCCCCTGCATGTCATGTGCGGGACTGTCATCTGCTGTACTTTGGCAATGCTCTTCTGCGTGAATAAATCAGCAGGTCTGAACTATATCTATGGTTCTTTGATAACATATCTGATAAATGTTTCGTCTGGTCAGTAAGTAGCATATCTGCTGTTGTAGTAGCCAGATCTTATTTTCTTTACTTATGTAAGTGATGTATATAAGCAGGATGAAGGGCATAAACCTGAAATTAACCTGTGTGCTTAACTACAAGAAAAAACATGATGCCATAATTCACCTGGTGCCTGTAACTCGCTTGTAATCATCCTTGGAGTAGACAGCCAGGATGCTAACCCCCGAGCCAATGTTTACCAGCAACATAGGGAAGGGGTTCTCCAGGCTAAATGGCCTCTTGACACAGTTTTCAGGGTCGGAGGGATTTTGGAAAAAATAACACCCGGGATGGCCATTGAACCTGACTGAGTCAACATACAGCAGACCTTGAATAAGACAGTCCAGTTCATCCAGCTTCTGGAGCTCCAAACCAGCCACCTGCAGGAAGAAGTATATACACATAAATCATAAACGCGACAGGCATAGCTAATGTTAGTCATTCATTGTCCTGATAACAGTAATAGTATAAGTGGCAGTAAGATAACAAGACATTACAATATGTCAACAAAACATTAGTCTGCTACAAATCAACATAGTTTTTACATTCAATCAAATCGAATAAATTCCATTATTATGTCACTATTCCTCTGTGGATCACACACCGTTCTGAAGTCGTCCTCAAACTTGTATGCGCCCCCACCCGTGGCGCACAGTGTGGTGTGTAGACTGGAGAAGTTCTTGTCTCTGCCCATTTGGATGAAGCGGTGCATGTCTTGCGTGGGGAACCGAATGAAGTGTAGGTTGCCTTTCCGGCCACACATGGTGAGGTTCTTCAACTCCAGGTGAACGTCACGGATACCCGTGTTTCCATAGGCCACGTTGGAGGTCAGATAGCGGCGGATGCTCTTCAGGCTCTCCACTTCTTCTTGTTCTTCTTCAGCAGTTATGTCCTTGGGCTCAAAGTAAACCAGCTTTACCAGAGTGCCTCCGATATCCATCCCAAACCATGGAAAGGCTGGAAAAAAAATCTCAAGTTTTAGAAAGGGAAATTTTGCCATTCTTTCTTAACAAGTATAACCTGCATCTTTCTGTGTAGTATTGATGGGTGTGAAATAAATACGATAGGTGTGAAAAAATTCTATAATGTAAAATCTAATAAACAAATAATTAAAATATAATAATTAAGTGACTTACGTTTTTTTGTGTGTGCGTGTTTTTAAGATTTTAGTGTAATAATAAGTATATTAATGAATACTGTCTGATTGCAAATAACTATGACTGCTTTGGTAGAGGGAAAAAGGCCCATTTGTTGCCATGGTAACAGTGGTTTCAAAGAGATTGCCTGGTGATTCTGAGAAACATCCTGTCTTCAAAATAAAAGTCACACATCAGGTTCACATAATCTGTCTAGCATACAATATAATCTCTTGGTAAAAAAAAAACATTCAGACCTTACTGACACAACCTCAGTATTTTCTACAGCAGCCTTAGTGAATCAGTAAAATATCTTTGCAGCATTTGTGAGAAAGCAGTTTCTTATGTCATTGATTAGTTAAGGGAGTCTGCGTTTAGATCAGTGATGATAATGTTGCTGGCAGATATACATGTAGGTGAAAGGTGTGTGTACTCCTTGTCTCAAAGAGCAAAGTACTGCAAAGCCACCAAGAACACAGTGACTTTACAGAAGTTAATGGACAAAAAGTGAAGTCACAGCAGTTTACAGCCAAGAACGCAACGTATTAAAGCAATGCAAGAAATATTTAAGATAGATTTATATTCACATTTAAAAACAATATTTAAAATCAATTATGAATTACTATATATACTTGATTGGATTCTGGAGTGTGCTGTTATTTTAACTAGTTCTTGATTGGTTTGACAGTAGACTGTAAAAAGATGCTGACTAATTAATACCATCAAAACGGAATCTCTTTGATTTTTATGTAATGTACTGCTTTTATTGATTAAACAATATTACGCAGGACCTTACCTGGCTTCTTGACAATTAGTTTCATACTTTGCAGGTGAGACAGACAGGATTATGAAGACAGCAATATGAAGTACGCAGCAATATACTCAGTATATGTATATATATCATTCAAATGCTGTTGGCAGAAGAATAAACGTCCTAATGTCACTTGGCAGGTGTGCTATGGCCTTTTTATGTTAATTACACCAGTACTGTAAAGTCTGCCAGTTCGATTTCCCCACCCCTTTGTGTGATCCTTCCCTCGCATTGGATGAAATCACATGTCATTCATAGCTGTCGTGTTTTGGTCACACCCTCACATTCTGATCTGGCCAATGAAATCCGCTCAACGAACATCACATTGATTTCACAACACTAAATAACCCGGTCTTTCAAAACAATTAAACCTCTTAATACAGGAACATTTGAAAGTTAAAGCATTTTCTCTTTTAAATAGGCATTTTATTTATTTTTTGTTTTAATTGCGAAGAATACTTCGAAAATCAAAAATTGGTTCACTTCCCGGACTTCAGGACACTTAAAATCTCATCTTTCACGTTCTTGGTACAAATATGAATAAGAACGAAATGCGGGTGGGGAAAAAAAATTAATAAAAAATCTGATGCTTCGCTACAAACACTGACCAAACAGTTAGTAAATAAAACGGAAGTTGTAACGTACAGTGGGATAACCTTTATTTATAACGACGAACGAAAAACGAATGTGTAAAATAATGTCTGACAAGATTTTGAGCGTACAAAAGAAAAATAAACAAATAAAAACAAGTTTAAAGCGCTGGAATCGTTTTTTAGCTGCTTAAATTTAGGATCTTTTAAAACGAAACATACCTCAAAAATAGCTATTTGCTGTATGTTGTGCTAATTGTCATTGTTCAATTGAAGGTACAATTTAATACATTACTTACGCGGTCTGTTCTTCTTTCCCGAATCCACGCGTCTTCGGAGTCTGCAGCGCTTCGCGGGCGAACCATTGTTGTGTACATCCTGATGAAGATGGTGGAAATTTTCAATACCATTATGGCCACCGCTACTGTCACTAGCACCCAGACCACCTCCGTTAGATGAAATACACTCCCCGTCATCGGACTGTAGGGTGTGAAATCCGTTTACTAAACTGTTCGTATAGTGCGTCGCTCCGTTTTGATCGGATGTTTCAGCATTTTCCATGATTTTACGCAGCAAATATGAACGTTCGGGAGACAGACAGCGTAACGACTCGACGTTTCGAAGGCGCTTCAAAATGTACAACTGTTTTATCAGAGTTCTACATTAATGCTCATGTGTTGTAAAGAGATGAAGACAAAAGATAGGTCTTCAACATCTTATTTGAGGTCACTGTCGGTCATTTCTTCTTTACACGCTTGTATGGCTTCCGAGTCAAACAGCCGGTATATGCGACGTCAAGGAAAATGCTCACTCCCTCTTGTTGAAACGTCATGTTTCAGAGCCGACTAGCCTACTTACTGTTACTCCTTCCTACAGGTAATCTTTCACGTTATATGAATAGGGTTTTTAAAGTCATTTTTAAAACACCTGGTAGGCTAAGTAAGTCTTGTTCAAATGCCTATAGATGGAATGTTGTCTCAGTTCCACCACTCACTTGGACTTTGGCATAATAGACCTACCTGTACATAGGGAATTAATGAATACACTATGTCTGTGTGGTCAAACCAGTTATTAAATAAAACTGTATTAATATAACGTAATACGTTGGTAAGAGGAAACACCAAACATGCAACACTGGCAGACAATGTACATTATTCTAATAAATATGTGAAGAGATGCTTGCCCTGTTCAGTTTTTGAATTGATTTTGTATTCAGAGCAAGATTCTTTATCTTATGCATCAATTATGATGCCTTTTATTTCTTATGTGTGGGAGGAAATTTTAAGTACAACAGCAGGTTTACATGGACGTCAGTGCTATTGACTCACAACATAAGTTTACTAACTATTTATTATTCTCCACAATTCCAATATAAGAAAGAAAAACAAGTTTATGAGCAATAGAAACATGCACACAATTATGTGTCATCTCAGCTGGATTCTACCTATACCTACATGCAGTTCACATTGAAAAAAAAGGGAATTATGAAAACCTAAAAATCCCTGATGCATTTAGATTTTCTCAACTGTCTCAAAGTAACACTACTTTGTTATGTCAATTTGAATTTGTTCATTCACTAAATGCAAAATGCCTCATTCAGCTAATAAATTAAAAGAAATGCATATTTCTTGTTCAACAAATTAGTTGTTCTGCAAATTAACACAATACATATCACCCTATAAACTTACAGCAAATAGATTTATGATATAGCAATAACATTACTATGAAAAGGCACCTTAACACCTTATGATGGTGACAATCAACAAATGTAAATAGATGAGCTCTTAAAATCACAACACAATAAAATCACAACACTATAATGACAAAGCAACAACAACATTTTTTAATCAGTAAACAGTGAAACAATGATCGTATAACCACATAAGTTATTCAAGCTGCAATGCATGCTGGGACCTTAATATTTTTGAAATTGAAATTCCTTGTTCAAATTATTCTGTTGGTCTAACATGGGTTTTTATGTAGTTTCAAGTAATTCACATTTCTTAGTATTTAGTACTTGTATTCAGTGCAGATGTAGATGCATAGCTAGTAGACCTGGTCCTCTAAATGAAATCTTGGGTTGCTTGGGTGTACTACTACTTCTACTCAGATACTAAAATATACACACTGAGGGTGCAGAGATCTGAGAAAAGATATAGAGATATAAAGTGACAATTGATATTTATATGCATTTTATCTAAGTAGTCTGCTGTACTATTATATATATCTCACTGAAATTACAAGTTATCAGAACTTCATCTTATATTTTGTCCATATAGATATGAGCATCTACACCAAACTGCATATTTTTGCTCAGTTTGGGCCTCTAAATAAAATGTAGGTTTTTTTTCATCCTTGAGTATTCTCCTATATCATACTATATGAGACTGGTGTATCAAATATGATAATCAGCAACAACAACAACAACAAAGATTTGCTTTTATATATTGCCTAAAGGTTCAATAAACAGTTCCATAAAAAAAAAAAAAAAAACTATTTAATATGTCAGGCTTTAGAGGTGTATCAAGTAAAGCCTGATTATTGTTTCAACACTGTTATAGTCTGACTTCACAATTGGCCCCTAGGTTTATACTAAAAGAAACAGGTGAACATTTACATACAAAATTAATTTACATTGTTTTATTACTTAAAATCTGACAGTCATCATAATTATTTTTTTTTTTCCTTTTCATTTTAGACATATTAAATAAAAAAAGCAAAATATACATTTTTCAAATTTTGCACATGCACCAGCATGAAAAGTAAACCTTTAACATTTTGAGTGGCATTGCCTGAAGAGGGCGCTATGAGCATGATAGAAGTTAATCTTCAGCGGCCCTGTTAACCACAACATTAAAAAAAACCTGTCTAATATCATGTAGGTCCCCCTTGTGCTGACAAAACCACTCTGATGTGTCAAGGCATGGACACCACGAGACCTCTGAACGTATCCTGTGGTATCTGGCACCAAGACGTTATCACCAGTTCCTTTAAGTTCTACAAGTTGTGAGGTGGGGTCTCTATGGATTGGATTTGTCTAGCACATCCCATAGATGCTCAATTGGATTGAGATCTGGGGAGTTTGGAGGCCCAGGCACAGTGAACTCTTCACCTTCATGTTCCTCAAAACATTCCTGAACATTTTTTGCAGTGTGGCAGGATGCATTATCCTGCTGAAAGAGGCCAGTACCATCAGGGACCACCATTAACATGAAGGGGGCCACGTACACACTGCAAGTTTCAGGAGTGACAACCGCATTTAAATGTGGGAGTGAGTCCCGTAAATTATCGTTCCATGGTGTACTGAACACGACTCACTCCCGAAACTGCCATGAATGGCAGCGTGGTAACCATAGCAACGTCGTGGCGTCTCAGAGAGAATGGAGGCCTGCAGATTAGCTAGTTTTGTGTTATAGCTGCTGTTGAGAAAACAAACTTTAGAGTGCAAAGACATGTGAAAATCCGCAAAACATTATTAAATGCCGTCGGGAGAGGCATCGTAATCTAGTTTTGTTCTTTAAACTACCAGTAGCTGCTCGCATTAAATTCAAGGCATTAATGTTTGCCTACAAAACCACCACTGGCTCTGCACCCATTTACCTAAATTCATTACTTCAGAGTTATGTGCCCTCTAGAAGCTTGCGTACTTTCTATTCTATTTTAATTCTACTTTATCTATATTTATCTTCTTTTTTTATAAAAAACAAACAAACAAACACTAGCTTTCTATTTTTTCTATTCTATCTACTTGTTTTTCTTTGTGTGTGTGTGTATATATATGTGCGTGTGTATAATATATATATATATATATATATATATATACAGTATATACACCTTGCTACGTGTACTGCGTTAGGCTAACCGAGACTTGTCATTTGCACTTATATATTGTTGCTCTTTTGTTAGTTTTGACTGCTTTTATTGTCCTAATTTGTAAGTCGCTTTGGATAAAAGTGTCTGCTAAATGACTAAATGTAATGTAAATGTAAACTGTTGTTATTGAACAGCTATTAACCGCAACTGCTCGGTCCACAATACACCTCTCTCCGCCATCCTGTCAGATCTGAGGTAAACACTTGACGGGACGCCTGACAATACACACACTTCGACATTTATTTCATTTCAGAACATCTTATAGATTTTCTTTTGCTGTTTCTATCATGTATCATTTTAAACTTTTACCTCACAAATACCTGTTTTATTTTTTTACTTTGAGTTACTGTAACAGGCTTTTAAAAATATTACAGTACCACAAAAGTTACATTACAAGTTTGATAACTAAATGAACAGAAGTCAGATTTGCCTAAAAGTTAATTATGGCAAGAGCAACCAGTAATGGACGTTCATCGACTAAACATTGCTTCTATTATTACAGCATTTTTAAGTGACTCTTTCTGCAGGTTACATTGTTATGCCAGTAGGTGTCTATATATAAGTGAATAGTGAATCAACTATAAACTGAATCGATGACTTATTCACTCAACTGATTTGTTAAAAAAAATGCTTATTCATTCAGAAACAAAACTTGTTACCATCTTTATTAATAAGTCATTGAATCATTCATTTAACAGATTCATTTAAAAACCAAATATTGTAAGATGACAAAGGAGAATGTTTATGTTCTTTCCTCCCTTTATATTATTTCTGGAATATAGTGAAGGGTAAGTTAGATCTCTTTTCAAAGCAGCAATAAAAACACCAACATTTGTCAATGCTGCCTGCATTCACACATATTTTAATAAATCATAAAATTCAACATTCTGTTCGATGTAGGAAACTTATTGATTTGTATTATTCTAAGTTGCTTCTAAAGCAATTCTTCAGAAATGTTAATATCATCTAGTGTCAGCCCAGATAAAACATTACAATCAGCTATTACATCTATAATACAACACAAGACACATTATTGCTGCTTGTAGTGCAGTGTCTTGATGTCCTGCAACCACTGGGAGTAACATAACTCCCCTAAGCAACATATAACAATGAAACAAAAAGACTGATGTTAGTCAAACGACCTGTATATGAAAATCATAAAGGTTGGGAACGTAATAAAGGTGAGTAAATTATGACAATTTTTGTTTTTGTCAACTATCACTTTAACAAATTAGTGTTTATGCCATCTAAGTGTACATCAATTTAAATATTTAAAGTATTATTAATTCCTTTATTTATAAAACTTTTTAATGCTAAATAATTTAAAAAAGTGAGTGCATATTTTAAAAGAGAAAAAAAGCATATATTAGGAGAAAATGATTGTGCTTAAAAGGCAAATTTAGCCATCAGTAGTATATACAGTGGGTACGGAAAGTATTCAGACCCCCTTCAATTTTTCACTCTTTGTTATATTGCAGCCATTTGC